TATACTTACTGTGTTCTGGCCATAAATGGGTTGCTTTCCTTTCTCCCCAGAAGACTATACTGTTTTTAAACTTTTGTGGTTTTGTGTTGACTCCTTAGTAAGTTCTCCTTCACACTGCTTTTCATGTATGCTTGGAAGCACTTATTTGTCCATTAAGTACAATGCCTATGCTGTCTCCTCCAGGAAGCCTTCCCAGATGTTTTCATGTGCCCCTGCTCCRTGTCTGAAGGCAGACCTAGTTAGAGCTCCTTCTCTTGGCCTCCAGAGCATTTGGTACACCCTGTGAGCCCAGCACATATTTTACTAAACTGGGAGTGGGTGTTCCCTCTGACTCCACCACACTCTTTCCAAGCCCTCCCTATGTAGGAACGGACAGTCTCTGAGCAGGGCACATGGTATTTGATCAGAAGTGTTAAGGTAAGTGGGATCTCTTTACAGAAGGCCCTTCTTCCAGTTTCACCTTTCTGATGTTTTTCCAGCAACCATTCATGGAAGTTGCTGTAGCCAAAGCTGTGCCTCTCCTGTTGCTTTTTGAGGCTGCAGGCCTGTACTTTAAACCTGGACTAGGCTCACCGGAGATGCCATATGCAGGAACAGTTATGAAAAGAGCCTTTCCATAAATTTTCTGCTTGACTAGCCAGAAACTATAAGTTGTGAATCTGTCTCCTTGCTTCAGTGTGGTGGAGAGGAGGAAATGGTTCCCTTCTATTCAGCTCTGAAAACAACCCTTGCCTTATGTCTGTCTGTGCTGAGCTGTTCCTGCCACCCCAGGAGTTAATCCACCACTAATCCAAGGCCCATTTGTGGAAAGCAACAATAAGCTCTGGGGGTTGTCAGCCTCAGAAACTGACCGCTTTGGCTATTTCCTTTGTAGCTTTTAGATAATTTTTCCAGTATCACATTTAAGTAATCAGAGCCATCTGGTGGTGCTTTCCTTCCTTGCTGTTTTCAGGTTTTCTGCACTAGAGCTCTCTGTCATCACTGGCTCTGGTACATTTAGGCTCTGCCCCCACCTACCTCCCACTGCTTTGAAATGCAGCCCAACTGAGTGTGGGACTGAGAAGAGAGCTGATTTCAAAAGGAGGCGGGGCAAGAAAGAGAGGGCAGATTCTTTTTGTAAAACTTAATTTTTAAAAAATTTATTACAGTGTCACATCATTATCAACCTTAATAGATAGTTTGCAAAATTGTTGTTTGCCAGGAGGGACAGGGAACATACATACTTGTCTCTCCAGTAATAGCCATTTTCACCTTTGTATAATTCTTCCTAGTCTTGGCCTCAGTTATACACATTTTTGAATGAGGTGTCTAGAATTTTTGTGTTCTCTGTTTTTTAAAAAAAATCTCATAATCTGTTCCAAGCACTCTTCTGGTTTGCTGTTGTCATGAGTATCATTTTAAATGACTGCATCACCATCAGTTAAGTGCATGCACTGGGCTTTAACTGCTCCTCCCTCATCTGGGCTGAGTGCTGGCATTGATGGCCAGTGAAGAATGTAGAATGCACCCTGGGAGCACAGGGAAAGAAGGAGGGGGCACTGGTGGTTCCCACAGCCAGTTATACCACACACTTGCTCCTTTCACTTCACATTTTGTGCTGAGGAATCCCTGCGGCTGGCTTCAGTTCTGCCCCCTCTCGGTGGACAGGAACGAATCTCGCTACACTCTTACTCCATGCCAGTCACTGTGCAAAGTATGTTTTCTCAAACAGTCCTGCCAGAGCTTATTGTTGCTTTCCACAAATGGGCCTTGGAGGAGGTGAGAAGAGGAAGGAAGTGTCTTCACCAAAAGCCTCCAGAGCTACAGGAAGGCAGAGCCTGTGCCTATTCTGCCTTGGCTTAGTCTCTGCCTTTCACTTGAAGTGTCCATGCAGTGATGCCTATGTGCCTTTGGGGTGGTGGTAATGGGCAGCCCCCCTCCTCCTCCTGGCGTCCTGCTGCTCACAGTCATGGCTCTGGGTCTATCTCTCCGCAGCCTTACGACAGTCTGCCTACCTCACAGACGTGCTTCTTTCAGCTGAGGCTGCCCCCCTACTCCAGCCAGCTGGTCATGGCTGAGCGCCTGCGCTATGCCATTAACAACTGCCGCTCCATTGACATGGACAACTACATGCTCTCAAGAAACGTGGACAACACCGAGGGCTCTGACACTGACTACTGAACGACCGTGGGTGCTGTCACCCCCTCCTTTTTCTCAATAATGCTCACTTCCAATTTGATGTTGATATACTTTTATGGTAACTAAATAGATGTTTTAGGATCATAAACCGACATTATAAACAGTGGCCGCATTTAGTTACTCTAAATTTAACAAAGAAATTAGATGTTTTTATTTTTCTGTGATTATACAAAAACAAAACAAAACAAAAAACCAAAACAAAACAAAACAAAAGCAAAGTCCTCTCAGTCAGGTTTTTCCCTCCATATTTTTGGTCACTTTTGATAGGTTTGCATGGAACCATTTTGGTGCATTTTTAGTTGGGAATGATACCTTTTTGTAAACCCACCCAGTGAACATGAAATTGTACATTGTGTATAATTGTTCATTAGAAAGGACAGTTTTACATGAATATTCACATATTTATTTTGTTTTAATTTGAATTGCCTGTGCAGGGTTCCTTATGCAGAGAAATAAAGCAGATTCAGAAATCAGAGCTTGGACTTCTTTTGTTGCTTCTGGTGGAGCTGCAGCCTATGAGTTGCCGGCAAGGTAGACATCAGCCTAGAAGGACTAAGCTTTGGTTTAGGTCACTCTCGCTTTTTGACTAATTCAGAAATATTTCTTCACATTTAGAGGGGGCTTCGCCTGGAAATGACATTGCAGAAGATTGTCATGATAGGAGGCAGGGTTCAGACACCCTCTTTGCATTTGTTCTTCTGTCATCCTGGGTCTCTCTCACTTGTTCCCTCACCCAAGGCACTTGTGTCAGCCACTGGTTCAGCCTCTTGGCACTACCCCTCCTCCTCTGAACAGTCAGCACACCTTGTGTGCAGCTCCACCAGCCAACACCACACGGTGCTGGCCCTGCCTGCGAAGAACTGGAGAAGACAGAATGAGCAAGTGATGGCATTAAAGAACAGGATAGTTTAAAACAACTTGTCACTCTGCCAGGAGAGCAGCCAAGTGGGAGGCAGTAGAAGACCGCTGTCACTAGAAGGCATACTGTGGATGAGTAAATGAATGTGGATTGAATGTGAGGAGGAGTACGCGGCTTTCACATCCTTGGGGAGTTGTTCAGGGGACTAGGGAAGAGCCACACTTCATACTTGGACCCAGCCCATGTGATCCCTCTGTGATGTGTTTGTGCATTCAGGAATGACAGAATGAGTGTGTGTTCTGGGGTAAGGGCCATCTTGAGAGCAGCTGTGAGGCTCTATGAGGCCCTAGCTGCCAGAACATGAGCAGGGAGAGGCAAGGACTGGGCGACTTGTCTCCTCTACTGATGCAGGTCCGTGCCAGAAGCTGCTTCCAGTGGACTTCATGGCCAGGATCTTTGTTGACAGCGTGTCCCAGTGAGGTGCCAGGCAAAGAGCCTTGTAGGCAGAGGTATTCCACAAGAAAGGTAGAAGGTGTTTGTTTGTTTATTTTTTTCCAAAGAAAAAGTAGAAGAAACATGTTTTTGCCAGCTAAGATAATCTGGTTAATGGCTTTTGCCCAGTGAGAAGACTTAACATGAGAATGATGACGTTTTTGTTTCACTGAAAAAAAAAAAAAATGCTTCAGATGGAATTGGGTCTCAGAGGGAGACCACAGCATCTGGGGAACCCCAGGGTGTTCTGGGTAGCGACAAGCCCTTAATTTTGTGAGTTGGGTTAGTAGCAGGGTTGAAGGGCTCTGAGCTTGAAGCACTCTCTCTGGGGTGGGGGACATTGCCTAGTCTGCTGGGCCAAAGAGTGTTTCTCTAAGAGAGGCCTCTGCTGCTGAGGTCTTGAACAAAGCCAGGAGGGCTGCTTCCTAATGATAAGTGACTGCTCCTCTTGCTGAGTTGACTGAGGGTATGCAAAGCTAAAGGATATGGCTACAGATTCCAGGGTTATTTCAAGTGAAAATAGTGCTTCTACCTTTGTGAAGCTTTGACCTTTGCTGCCACCAGTAGGTGGCCCTGATGAGTCCTGGTTCCTGGGTTAGGCCTAACAGACTGCTTCTGAGGTCTGACCCCTGAGGGGAATCTGTCAGGATGGTTTTATAATATGCTGTTCCTCTGCTGGAAAGCAGCTGTTATTCCTTCTTTCTGTTGACTATTGAGAACTTCAGGTGTGTTGAGGGGGGCGGGGGGAGTCCCTCCTCTGAGGATCCTGATGGCCCTCTGAGGGCCTCATGTAGGTGTTTTTCGTAGTCCATGCCCTGTAGAGACTTGGGTGGTTTATTGTTTGCTGACCTCACTAAGTGAACAAATACTTGCAGTTTGCTTATTTTTTGTTGTAGATGGACACAATACCTTTATTTTTTTAATTTATTTTTAATGTGGTGCTGAGGATTGAACCCAGGGCCTCACATGTGCTAGGCAAGCGCTGTACCGCTGAGCCACAATCCCAGCCCRTTTGTTTTGGTTTTGACCCTTAAGTTTTTAAGAAAAGTTTGACCCCCTGCTTTTAGAATTTAAGATTTCCCCAGATACTTCTCAAGGTTTGGCTTTGTAGTGGGCCTCCTAGCTTTGTGGCCTTTGCCAATGATGGCTACATCTGGTGAGCCTAGTTTTTAGCTTTTTTCCCCCACTTTTTCTAATTTTAGTCCTTTTTTTAAATTATTTATTCCAATTAGTTAAACATGACAGTAGAATGCATTTTGAACATCATACATAAATGGAGTATAACTTCGTGTTCTTCTGTTTGTATACGATGTAGAATGACACTGGTTGTGTAATCATATACACACATAGGGTAATAATGTCCGATTACCCCCATGCCCCCTCCCATCCCTTCACTCCCCTTTGTCTAATCCAAAGTACTTCTCTATTCTTCCCTAGCCCCCACCCCTTTATTGTGAATTAACATCTGCAAATCAGAGAAAACATTCAGCCTCTGGTTCTTTGGGATTGGCTTATTTCACTTAGCATGATATGCTTTTGCTAAGAAGCTGAAAGTATGTGTTGGACATGAATCCTAAACCTGAAAAGGAGGTCTCTAATGGTCACATGATCTCTTTTACAGGATGGAAATCCAAGGCTAGGAGAGGGGAAAAACTCAATCAGGTGCAGCAGCCTACCAACAGCATTCTGGGTTAGATCCTAGAAGGCTCAGTCAGCTCCCTCCCAACATTCAGCCTGTGCAGAAACAGGCACATACCTTGCTCAAAAAACCTCCAAGCATCACTTCCCATTTCCTTGGGACTCTGGAACACCTGACCCAAGTGAATGTGGCCTGATCTTTCTGCTAGCCTGAGAGTCCTATGCACACCAGGCAGCATGATGTGGTTGACTGGGCAGCTTCCAACTAGGGAGCAGCATCCTACTCAAGTGCTGACGTGTCATTCTTAGCTTTCCCTGCATGTGACCTTGGTTACCTTGACCAAAACAGAGTGAAAAGATTTGACATTCCAGGAACTAGGGAAAGTCTGTAGTCTTATTAATAAGAGTCTAGGAAGGCACAAGTGGCCTACTTCTAGGTGGCTCTTGAATACCATCAGGCTCTCATCTGCCCAGCTTACCTTCCCTGGTGGTGCCTTGTGCTTCTTGACTCTGCCTTTGCTGAGCTGAATCTGCTGACACCAATGTTCTCACAGAACCTGAGGGAGCTGGAGGCAGCCCTCAGGCTCAGGGCAAACATTCTGTTCTCCATCCAGTACAGATGCTGGCCCACCCACATACAGGCCTGTCTTGCTTCTTCCCAGTGCCTGAGCCTTGTGAGTCCTGCCAGCCACTCAACTTTTCTAGCCCTCATGGATGTGAGGACACCTGCTCTTGCCTTGTAGGCACAGTACATTGAGTCTCATAACTGTCACATAGAAGGTGGTGTTGATCCCATTTTACGGATGAAGAAGCAGGCTCAGAGAAATTATAACTTGGAGAAGCTGTGCACACAAAGCTGGGAGATGTACTCAAGAACACCCCTCACTCCCAGCTGCATATCTTCTCCCAACTAGAACTGAGTCCCTTGGCCTGGCCCAGTCCACAGCCAATACCAAGTAAATGCTGCTTAGATGAATGAGTTGGCTGATTATTTAAGCATTCAATGCCTCCTGGGCAAACCTCCGAGAAGACCTTGGAAGTTGTGTTTCAGATTAAGCAGGGCATTCCTCCTGAAGGTGAACAGCTACTGTTGGAAGGCAGAGTGCAGAGTTGTGACTCATCGACTCATCAGTGCCCACCTTCTGGGAGCACCTAAAATGGCCCTTGACTCAGGGACCCAAAGCCTCCTGGCCACGGTGGGAGCCAGTTTAGAGCCCTGAAACAATACTGGACACAGGTATCAGCACAGATTTGGTTTTATGGTCACTATAGTTTGGGTACGTGGGGGTTAGCCTGGAAAGCAAACAGTCATTTACAGAAGTTTCCATAGGAAAAGGACTTTAGGGGGATGCAGGTTGCCCCATTCAAGCTCAACCTGCTGTGACCTCTGCTTTACAAACACAATCCTGATCCTTATAAAAAAAAAATCCCACAAACAAGGTTTTCTAGCTACTCCTACTTAACATAAGGGAATTAGGAGGAGAGCTGACCTGCCTTTGGTGTCAGGGTTAGAAAGTGAGGGGGAATGGACTACAGACCTATATCCATTAGGCCTGAAGTCAGGATCCTGTTCCCAGACTAAACTACCAATTTAGGGCCAACAGGACCTGCTGGGAATTGGGGCTTATTAAGATGATAAAAGCAAGCTCTGGAGTTAAAGTGACTGTTTTAGACATTCAACATCCTCTCCTACCCCTCCCCCCAAGCTCAAGCTTTCTTTCAACACTGTTCACCATAGTGGAAGGAGAATTAGGGCCCTGCAAGGATCCTTTCAAGTCCAGAGTAATGCAAGATAAACTGGAAAGTCACCTGGAGGGAGCCTGGGTCCCACAGGCAAACAGTGGCCTATCCCCCTCCACTGCAGCTGGCAGCAAGGTGGGTCTGGCTTTTCACACAAGATTAGAAGGGATTATGCCAGGAAAGGGCTTGGATGTTTACCTTGTTCTGGTGTAAGCACTGCCCCAGCCAGGGGACCAGGAGGAAGAGCAGAGAAGCCCCTTCAGCAGTTGCCAGGTGGGGCAGGGCAGGAGAGGTAGATGCCTCCTATGTATCTACCTAGAGAAATTTCTGGGACTTACCTTTTTATTGTCTGTGCTTAGGCCCTAGCTCCTGCTGGGATAAACTGACCTTCAGTTTTTATTTCATCCTTACTACAATCTGTCCCTTCATAGCTCCCTCTCTGATCTCTCCTCCTCACTCTGCAACAGCTACACTGACCTTCTTGCTGTTTCCCTAACACACCAGCCATGCTCCTAGTCCGGGACCTTTGCACATGCAGTTCTCTTGGCCTGAAATATTTTCCAGATGGCTGACTTGGTTTCCTGGCTCACCTCATGTCTCAAGTATCACCTTCTCAATGAGGTTTATGTGGTCAACCCAAATCTAAGTGCCTTCCCCCACCCATTTCTTGGCCAACAATCTCCAAATCTCCCCTACAGTTTCTAACTCCTCCAGTACTCACTACTTATGTATAATTATCCAGAATGTAAGCTCCACCCAAAACAGAATTTGTCTCCTTTATCCTTGTTTTTTTCCCATTTGGTCAACAAATTAAGGAACCTGTTTTAGGGATCGGATCGGGATGTCAGAGAGGAGAAACACTTGGCTACAGACTCAGGCAAGGTCTTGGTTACAGCTGGCAGTGGGTGGAGCCAAGAGTGTGAGCATTGCTCACCATTGCTGCTCCCCTGCCTCTTCCACTTACCCAGTGTTCCCTGTACCTGGAACTGGTGGCAGAGGCCCCTTAGTAAAGCCCTGAAATTACAACTGGAAGTCCAGGCATGTGCCCACGTGCAGCAAATCCAACAAATAAAAAAAACCCTCATTTTTCACCACTTAACAATGGTTCCACTACTATCCTTTTTTTTCTTTCCCTCTTGGTGGTGCTGGGAAATTGAACCCAGGGACTCGTGCATGCTAGACAAGCACTCAACCAACTGAGCTATATCACCAGGCCCTGTACTATCATCTTAGTCAGGGATACTGCTGCTGTTTTTAAATCGTTAACTTTTTCCTCCCATTGACATACTTTTCCCTTGTGCGAATGGTAAGAGTATCCGTTAACTCTCAGTTTACATATGAAAGAATGGGAACAGATTATCTGGAAAAGCTTCTGCAGTCCTCCTAGGACCACATCTGCCCCCAAGAAAGGCAAGCAGGCCAGGGTGGCGTGGGCCAAGCCGCGAACCAGCCTTTCGGCGCTGCAGGACTCACTCTGCAGAAGCCCTCAGCGGCCGGGCCGCAGCGGGGTCGCTCCGCCTGATTCCCCAGGAACGCGCGCGACGGCCGGAGCCCCCTGCCTGTAGGGGGCGCAGCCCGCGAGCTCCGGTCCTGCCCACCGCCGTTAAGGAGACCCACCACACGGTCCGAGTCTCGGAAGATAACGCAGGCGCCTCCCACCATTGCAGAAAAGGGGGAAATGGTGCTGGTATTGAGGACCACAAAGTGTTTTCCAGCCATGCAGTCGTTTAATCTCGCCTTCATCCTCTTTATAAAATCATGATGTGAGGTAGATGGGCACTATCCCCAATGTGCAGACGGGAAGAATGACGCCAAGAAGGCGCGACGGCGGGCTCCAAGGCAGGACGATCTGACGCCAAGGTACTCTCTCCCAGAGTCACGGCCGGCCTAGCTAGGCAGCAGCTTGCGGAGAGCCGTGCCCGACGCTGGCGGGCGCGGGACTTGGTCGGGGATCATGGCCGCGCTGTGTTCGGCGCGCAGGACCAGACGCGGGCAGGCGGCGCGCAGGCGGCGCAGTCCCGCGGCGCTCACGTTGCGGCAGAAGTCCACGTGCAGCGTTTGCAGCGCGCCCCCGTGCGCCGCCACGGCCGCCAGCGTGCGGTTGGTCACGCGCGCGCAGTTTTCCAGGTGCAGCGCGCGCAGGCGCGGGCAACTGCGTAGCAGGCGGGCCAGGCAGTCGTCGGTGACGTGGCCGCAGCCCGACAGCGTGACGGACGCCAGGTTGGGGCACCTGCGGGAAGAGCGCTGTGACCCGGGCGGGGCCGAGACGGGCGCGTCAAGCCGGCCGCAGTCCCGCCGCGACTCCTTCTTTGCACCCGACCACACGCTACACGGGCAGAGGACTCTGCCTTTTACCGAGTGAGGAAGTCGCCTGCAATGAGCAGCCAGGATTCCAACAGGGCTTTCTGGACAATTTCCCCAGCCTTTTCTGCCGCTGCACCCCCACTATACCTTAATGTTGAGGGTTCTTCGCTGTGAGTTTCAGGAGCCTCAGTAGGGAACCCGGACCCCAGAGACCCAAGCCTTCTGTGAATCCAGGGCTTGTGGTTCTGGGCATGCGTCTTAATTTTTCTCTGGTCTCAAAGCTTACCTCGGGCTTCATAAAAACCTTTGGCAGGATTTAGGAGGGGTTTCCTTAGGGAATGGCTTAGTGACATGGAAGCCAAGCCCGGAACGAGTGCCTCAGTGTTGGTTCTAGAGCCCAGTTTCAGCTCAGTTGGCTGGGGGCAGTTATTTCATCATCCAGGTGTGTACAATTAGGGACACCCAGGGAGTTTTTGGCCCAGAAAGCTAGAGATCCCTCTGCTCCAGCCTCACCAGCACCTGCAGGAGAAAAGATCTGGACCAAAGTTAGACTTGGCTTATTTTCAGTGTGTCTTTAACCTTATTACTCACTGGGCCTTAGTTTCCCTGTGTGTGATCGTGGGATGTTTACTCATGGGCTTGTGAGGATTAGATTGGCTTTGGGGTGTAAAAAGACTGCAACAGGGCTTCCTATGTGCAGCTGTAACTCACTTTCCTGGAAACAAACAGGACCAGATTGCTTCCACTACAGGAGCCTAAGTCTGGAGTCTATAGCCAGAGGGAGTTGAGTCTGGCCTGGCCCTTTTCCCCATCAGCCTCCCACTTTGTTCCTTCACTGCACCCAGCTGGCTTATGTCCACACAGTTTTGCTGGGGAAAGAGAAGGAACTAAAATATACTGGGCCCAGCCACATTTCACACACTGAGCCCATACCTTCCTTAAATTCTTGTGTTTTCTTTAATTACATAAACATTGCTGGGGAACTCAAGCCTTTTGGTCTTTCTGTGACACCAGAGCCTGTTGCTAAACCCATCCTATGGCCCAGGAGTTCCACTCTACACCTTGGGTTGGGGAATTCAGCCTCATCCTTTAAAACAAGAACACAAAAATTCGGGCCTAATCCCTCCCACCTCACCCTCCTATAACCCTCATTTCTGAACCTTGTTAAAACTCATCCAAACAACCTGGGTTGGTCTAGTCAGGGCCTCGATCCAAGTCCATCTTCTGTCATCCTGCAGTTTTCAAAAAAAAGAATTGCAGGGGAGGGGGATTCTTTCCTCCCATTCCTGTTCTGCTGCCAGCAAACAGCAGATATTAACCTTGGTGGCAACAAACCAGCCAAGCCTAGTTTTCCATGAAGCCAGCCCAGCTTGTTATGCTCCTGGTGCTTTTTCTCAAAGGTAGGATAATCTGGTGGGCTCTGTAAGCTCCCTGGCTGCTGGTAGGGGATGGGGAAGGCTGGCCTGGTGGCCCAGCCTGTGTTGGGGGTGCGGTTGAAAGCTTCAATACAGGATGTTCGGGGGACATACTTTTAAAATTACTCAATAATTACTCAATATTGGTTTGAAATTAAAATTTAATTGGGTAGTCCATAAAATCTGGCAACCCTAGATTGTGGGTAAATCATACCTCCTCTTGGAGGATTAGTTTGCTCCTTTGTAAAAGAAAGCCGAACTCCTGCCCTAGGGCCACTGTGAACGTTAGTAAGTTCCTCAAAGGAGACCATTATTTATTGTTACTTCCAGAGTCTGGTGTGGCTCAGCTAAATCTATCCTTCCTCAGCAGCATTTCTCAGACCATTGGGGCTCCTTTCTAGGGCCAAAATGGAGAGGTGTGCTGATAGCTGAATCTGGCACTGGCAGCCTGTTCCCAGGGCCTGTCCTTGAAACTCCAGGCCTAGCTGGACCCACCCAGCACTTAATGGCTGCCAGAGAGGACAGCTGCTTAAGAGCAGGGACGGCTCAGCCCCAGTGCCTTTACAACAGAGACAGTTCTTGAGACCCTAAGGCTGAGAGGAGTGTTAGCAGATAGGTCATCTACTGAGAGCTGCACTGAGTTCAGGGACTGGGCATCTGCCTTGGGCCTAGTCTGAGGTGCCCCAAAGCAGGAGGCATCTTGATCTTATAATTTGCACTTCCATGGTTCTCCCATCCCTCCCCCAGAGTCAGCACCAGCAAAACCAGAGCTGCTGCTCAGGAACAAAGCTGCCTACCTGTCACACACCTGGAGGAGGAAATCACTGACCAGGCTCTCATGCCGGCTACAGATGCTCCTCTGGAAGGTGCTCTTAAGCCAGTCCTCAATGCTGCACACCTGCACCTGGCTGGAGTGCCAGCAGATGGACAGGCTGCGCAGCGCTGGGCCCAGAAGGAAGTTGTCCTTCTTAAGCTCAGTGAGGGAACGGAAGTGCAGCAGAGGCCAAAGAGCAGGGTCCTCAAACACATCATGGAGCTGGGAGCAGGTCCTGGCGAGGCTCTTCCTGCTGTCCTTGTCCAGGAAAGAGAAGAGATGCAGCAGGCACTCCCGGTTAAGCTGGGTTATGTGCATGGTGAACGGCATCCACAGAGTGTACCCAGCCAGGGCTGACCTGCCTCCTGCTGCTCCTCCCCAGCTCAAGGCTGGTGGACATATATGGTTGAGGAATGGTGTTTATTTTTGGCCAACAACTGGTCCTGAAGCTCTTGGCGGTGGGGGTGGGGGGAAGAAAAGCCAGGATCCAAACATACATGCAGTAGTCTGTGGCTCAGCTTATGTTCAGAGGGATTGAAAATCCTGGCAGAAAAGCAGCCTATTGAAGTTAAATAGTTTACTTAAAAGGGATTTCTTTTCCTTTTAGCTGACAATGGTGTTTCGCAGAGTTCTTTTGGTTTTTCCTAAGGCATTTTCATTGGAGGTGGCCGGCCACACCAGCTCTGTCTGGGCTTGCAGTCTACCCACTGGCAGGGAGTGTTTGTATTAACTGGTTTTGTAGGACATCAGTGTAGGTCTTTTGCTCCACCTTTACCACAAAAAGGCCTGCTGGATGTCAGAGCTAAGAATGGTGGTCCTTTCCAAGCTGGGAGGAGAATCCACAGGCCGTGCCTCTTTTCTGTTACTTCTGTTCAGTAGACTGGTGGTTTCCAGGTAGGACTGAGCTGCCTTCAAATCCTACTGCCCTCCACTGGACAAGAGGATTTCCTTAACCTCCCAGATGGCTCTAATTTTACCAAGTTGTTTCATAAAAGATTTAACTGAAGTAATTTTATCTTTCCAAGGCTTTTACTTTCAGCTTTAGTTCATTTGGCCTTATATTTTTTACATATGTCCTTCTGTTTCTAGCTTGTACTTTCCAAAGTATTAGGACAAAGGAGGTATCTCTTAATACAACACTGCACAAAACACTTTTATGTACTTTAATAGGTGTTTGCTGTGGAAGGCAGCCATTGCATCTGCTCTGAGTGTCCTTTCCTCTTAAAGAAACCCATGGATCATCCCCTGCCCCCTCTCATGCTCCTGTGGTCAAGTAGCCTAGGGGTAATATCCATTAAGTTCTCCCTTTTTAAAGCACCTGAGGCCTCCAAGTGGACCTACTTCCTAATACCTCTTCATCCCTAGGCCTGTGGCCCTGCCTTTGTTCCCCTGCTGTGATTTCCTAGTTGTGTTGATGTGTTGGTTTGGGGGACACTGGTACTGTGCAGCTCTAKACGTCACCATTCTACCTTTGCAGTACCCGAGGTAAGGACAGTTTTCCTCAGCTAGTCTAGGGAACTTTTGTTTACTCCCCTCACTGAACTGGAATTGGAAGACTTTTTTCTGGACATGTGGTTGTGACACTGATGAGGTGGCCATGCTATACCTGCTTCTGGAATCGAGGCTGGCATGTGCCAAACAGAGGCAGCTAAGGAAAGGAGAGCACAGCTGTCCTGGTCAGCATCCCTACCCTGAGCAGTCTCAGCTGGTCTTCCTGAGCCTGCTACCCCAGCATAAGAAAGGGACTAGCAAGGGGGCCGCTCATATTTCAAGTTCATCATTTGAGTTGTTCAGAATAACAACTGCAGCCCTTTGGGCTGTCTGATTATGCTGCTCCACTGCAGGCGGATACCTAGAAAACCTCCACATTCCCTCCCAGAAGCCTCTCCAACCATCACTTCACACAGGCTGACCACTGGGAATAGGTGGTCTTTTCAGCTTGTTAAAAAGAAGTGCCGTGTGATCCTGCCACCTGCTGGAGAAGAGCCCCTGATGGTTCATCATGGCTTCCCAGCTGCACTATTGCAGCCCCTATGCAACTGTGGAAGATAGACAGGGAGAATGTGTGGAACCTTGTCCCTTTGCTGCTGTTCCAAGTCAATGGCAAGAGGCAGCCCAGACCAGAAGGTGGGCTTCCCAAAGTGAGCATGCCTCTTGAGGATCTGACACACAAGCAGCTGATGGCTCTGCCCTTTTGGCCTTGTCTCAGCTCTGCTGTTTGGCACAGCAGTGGCACCTGAACAGCACAGGTGCTGAAGGGAGGTGTGCCTTGTGGGGCATGGAAGCCAGACAGTCTGAGCTGCAGGCCATTCTGCCCTCAGTTTTAGAAGACTGACAGGAACAGGCAAATAGGTGAAACAGAAAAGCAACAGGTGTGTAGACAGTTCCTGTGTCTTCCGTTTGCAGGAGGCAATGGACGGAGAAGATGTGTAAGCTCTTGCTTTAAGCATAATTTATTGGCACCACCTCCTTTGCCTGTTTTAGTTTATTTTTTTAAAGAGAATTTTTTAATATTTATTTTTTAGCTTTGGTGGACACAACATCTTTGTATGTGGTGCTGAGGATCGGACCCGGGCCACACGCATGCCAGGCAAGTGCACTACCGCTTGAGCCACATCCCCAACCCTGCCTGTTTTACTTTAAAAGATGATCAATAAGCTTTGCTTAGAGCTGAAAAACTGGTTCTTCAGAAGGTAGCTTCTGGCTCTGAGGGAGGGACAGAAGCCTCATTTCCATAAAGTCAGTAGTCACCTCGAGGATTTGAGGATTTCACTGAGCCAGGCGATTGGCCTTCCACCCCTGACTATGGCCACTCCCTTGTGGCACCACCTACTCCATCCTGCCCACATACAGCAGCAGGTTCAAAGTACTGGGACTTCTGTAAGAACTACTACCTTTTGATAGTTAAGGCCCAGAGCTGGAGTCAGCACATCATTTATTTGGCTCCACTGAAAGGGGTTCAGAAATAACAGTCAGAAGGAAAGAGAACAGACCTTTAATGATACTTTCCATAGAATAGTTGAGGCTGGTGAAGCAGAAAAGGGATGTGATTACAACTTGAAATGAACCAGTCACTTGCACAATTAAACAATCCTCTTYGCATAATACACACTAAGTTTTAATGGCAAACAGTCACGTCACAGCACAACCAGCATGTGGAGGCTGTCACGCTCACACCTGAGGAGGTTCTGCACCAGTGATGAGGTGCAGAGACCTGGACCAGAGACAATTCCACACACTCACTGCTCCTTCCTGGGCCAGGGGCATCATCCAATAGCCACACCTGGTCACAGGGGACCCACAACCTGACTGCGGGAAAAGGCCTTGCTATGAGCCTTTCCAGGCCCCAAGTGCAGAGGCTCCTTCGGCAACAGAGGGTCCATGAGAGAGTTTAGGGGATGGTGGAAGTCACAATGGGATAAATATGTCTAAAAAGATTTATGTACACTAAAACAGCACTGTCTGTCTGAAGACACCTTTCTCCAATGAAGGAGCGGTTTGGCTTAAGAAATAAATATGTCCCACCCCAGAAACCATGCTGTTGAGTAGGTTCCACAGGTTGAGACACATATTTAACACTTAACCAGGCCCAGCACGCTTGACTGGTTTAATTCTATTATATCTGTCATCACTATACACTGAGTAGAATACAGTGGATAAGCAAAGGTTTCTCCACCATGGAGAGAGATTTGTGTTGCCACAAACTGTTTCTATTCCCACCTGTGTGGGAGGACTTCTGAGAATTTCCTGTTCCATGGAGCCACATGACATGAGGCCCTGCCTCAGCATAAGTTCTGAGCAAGAAGCCACATTCGGGTTAGAGACAACATGGCGCGGAAAAAGCCCTGAAGAACAAAGAAAGATCCATTAACCACGGTGTGATAAGGCTACAACTACAGGATGAAAATACAAATAGGCACATTTACATCATGGGCACTCGGATGGATCCAATCACTTTCCAAGAGTCTTCATGATACCACTCTAAATTTTCTTCTTAAAATTGAGCAATAAAAATGCTACAAAAATTCAAAGAGGAGGTATGTTCTTCACATAAACCAACAGTACTGCCTGTCTGAAGACCACTTTCTCCAACAAAGTAGTCCAGCCTGCCACTAAGTTCCATTTAGTATGAAAAGCCATGTCTTCATCAGTATGGATTCTGCCAGTCTTTACTGTTCAGTCATCTCAGTGCCCATGCCAAGACTGGAGTCCTAAGTGTGATGTTAGATGATCTAGCTGTCTACCTTCTGAGCCAAAGAGCCTGACTCACAGCAGAACTAAGCAAGGTCAGAGGAGACTTACTTTTCAGTTATATGTGTTTTAATGTACTGATTGATAGATTAGCATAAGTCAGTCCAACTCATTTCTGTAGACCAAACGTTATATTTGCATATAGTTCCTCCTAATATAATTTAGTGCTGTAAATTATTTTAAATACTAATTGCCTGCTAGGACTCTGATTCTTAACTGTAAGACCTAAAGTTTTACTCTCTGGAGTGAAAACTTAGGCCAGTGTTGTCCAAGAGAACTCTATCCATTGTGGAATGTCCTAGACCTGCACAATCCTAGCCAGGTATGGGTGCTGAACACTTGAGATATGACTAGTATGACTGAGGAACTGAGTTTTAAATTTAAATAACCACATATGGCCATCATATTAGATAACACAAGTTTAGACATAACTGCAGTTTGCTCCTTGTCGTGTTAAAACATTTATCCAGCAAATGTGTTCTGCTCTGAGAGAATGTGGGATTTATCCAGCTAATTATTAAGAAGGAAAAGAAGCCACCTCTGCTCCTATAACTATAAACAACTGACCTAGGAGGAAAGCCATCAGACTTTCTTTTACATTCATACACTAGAAAAAGTTTTGACTATTTTTCCTTTAAATTAAAAAAAAAGAAACAGGATTGCCAAAAAGTCTGCTTGCCTGGCTGAACATGAAATGTATTTTGTCCTTTGTTGAGAAAAGGAAGGAAAGAATGGCAGGGACAAGAAATGAACAAGAAAATGGCACGCAGTTCAATGCCTGCATGCCTGTGCTGGCAATCCTACTCTCCCCAAATAATTTACAAGTAATGCCATCACCCCTCAAAATTAAAGAGCTGTCTTAGAACCCTTGAGCAATCACAAATGCCTTCTTTAAATGAGACTCTGAGTTCAAATTTCAATTTGAGCTCCATCTAAATAGTGCCTGTACCTATATTTATGGACAACAGTTTTGAAACAAACACTACTGAGTTCAAGAATACAAATTATACTTATTCAAAGTAAGAATATTTTTAACTTGCTCTGCTCTCAGGATAGGCCAAGAGAGTTAAAACCCAAAGTAGCAATGACTCCAACTTCCTTCTGTAAAAGCA